TTTTTCTTCATTTTTGTGACTATTTAAATTTTAGATTCTCACTGAAGGCATCTAAACTGTGAATGAACACATATGGAATTATGTAGTAAACAAAAAAGTGTAACTGCTTTGTACACTCTTGGCGTTCTCTTGATGAGCTTCATGAGGTAGTTATCTTTTCCAACAGTCTTGAAGGAGTCCCCAGAGATGCTGAGTACTTGTTGGTCCTTTTGCCTTCACTCTGCAGTCCATCTCATCTCAAGCCATCTCAACTGGATTTAGGTCAGGTGACTGTGGAGGCCAGGCCATCTGGCGCAGGACTCCATCACTCTCTATCTTGGTCAAATAGCTCTTCCACAGCCTAGAGGTTTGTTTGGGGTCATTGTGCTGTTGAAAATTAAATGATGGTCAAACTAAACACAAACTGGATGTGATGATGATAATAATAATAATAATACATTTTATTTAAAAGCACCTTTCAAGACACCCAAGGACACTTAACAATAGAGTAAAACACAAAGCAGAATAAAGACAAAACCAAACATTTGACTGGTACCGGTACTGTAAAACAAGGATCTGGCTGTTTTTGAATGTTTCTGAAGTCATAGAGTACTATGCCGCTGGTAGCTTCGCTGTCAAATACAAAACGGGCTTTTGAAGTTTGGAGGCTGTGGTGGCATAATTAATTTGGAGGCAGTGGTTTAATTAGTGACAAAACTGATTACCCCAGATTAAGTATGACACGTGGATATACTCGATACAGTATGCTTAACTGTATCGAGTTGGTTAATGCCTCGTCTCACAGCACGCTTCTCCAGCCGAGCTACAGCAACGGGCTCAGCGGTTCGTTCTAGAGCTGGCAACCGGAAGCTGTGATCAGCTGATCGAGGAGGAGCTGTAGAAGAGGTGAGCCATCTTCCCCCGGCAGACAGGTTGATACACTTTGATAACGCTTTGACGAGTGGGATAAGGGAAAATCATCCGGATATCCCGGTGTCATTTGAAGGCATAGAGGATTTTAAGACGGACAACTGGTGACAGTTGCGAAGGGAGCTATGTAAAGGACTCGTTTGAATTTCTTCATCAGATCTGACTGAGGAATATGCCAGCTTTTACGTCAGACAGAGCCTCTAATATCAGCACAAAGAACGGGGAAAAAATGCTAAGAGCGTGGATTTAGATCATAATATGAAACAAGCGTAACCTAGATATATGCCTAAGTCCGGAAGATATGCGATGTAAGAAAGTATGTAGTCCTTAATGTGCGGAAGGTGTACAACATCAGCAGTAAATGTAAACAAACAGCTATTCAAGCTAGTTGAACTTAGCCGACTGGAGGTTAGCTTTCTAATGCTAGTACATATAGCTAACATAAGGTAGCACAGCGAAGGTAAATCGAGCAAAATAAGCCTGTAGTCGGAAATATAAACGATATTTAATCGTAGTTTAACTGTCTACAGCGCATGACATGTTTATAGTATCCAAGTAGGCATTTGTTAGCCTATTTGCTAACGTTAGCTAATTCTTATTTCCATTGCAGATGAAAATGACATTAAAACTAGCTCATTAAACGAGGAACAGAGAAGACACTTTGCAATATTAACACCACAGGTGTTTGACATCTTCTTTCTTGTGAGAAAGACTCTTTCGGGATCGTTATGATGCAGCAGTAGTTAATGTTGATACCCAGTGTGAGTTGAGCTAAATGCCTGAAAAGAGTAGGACGTCTGGATGAACGAAACCGCTTCGAGACTTCACGAGGCTTTACATGTACACCAACAAGCGTTTTTTTAACCTCTGTTTTCTATTCTTATTCGTGGCTCTATGATGAGAGAGTTTTTCATTTTCTACTTTTGACAGGAACGTTGCTTTGTGAGTTTGAGTCGTTGGGCACCTCAGAGGCAAAGTTGCCGTCAAAGACGTTTAACTATTCAGAGTTTTTGGCTTTGACTCCAAGTGTGGAAGGAAGCTTCACCTCTGCGCAGTGGCTTATGCCGACTTAAATCACAAATAGCTTCGTAGACAAATACTAATTGTAGTTGTGCTGTATATATTTTTTGCAGACTATTCAAAGCATTGTTTAAAAAAATTGTATGTGTTTGAGGCGATAAGCCTCGGCAGTGATTTGGTTGTTAGTGGTCTCCCCTCCCCCAGTGTTCAGACTGACTCTGTTGGAGCTGTGGGCACTGTTTGTCGGGCTTCCCCTTGTTTTTTAGACGGCAGAAAGGCCGTAGACTCAAATCGCTGTCCCGGGACTCCTAACCTCGTTAAGAGTGGATGTAATGGAACTGATGTTCGCCGAGTGGGAGGATGGGGAGAGGTTCTCCTTTGAAGACTCGGACCGATTCGAAGAAGACTCTCTCTGCTCCTTCATCTCGGAGGCCGAGAGCCTCTGTCAGAACTGGAGGGGATGGAGGAAGCAGTCTGCTGGACCCAACTCCCCCACTGTCAAGATTAAAGGTCGGAGAGGGACACACACACACACACACACAATGTGCTTCCATTCATTATACATACTTGAAAATGTACTATAGCAGTATTACCTGTTGCTGCTGGGAAACGCATTTGATGCTATGATATCTTATAATCTAAACTATACTGTTCATCATCATCATCAATCATGCGAATTAATTTTTGAAGCAGAAACGAAACTGTCGAGTAATTTTTAAAACCTGCTAATTCAGCTGATATTTTATGGTATAGAAGAAAAGCAGTCAGTCAGTTCCACTTTGCACTGTCAGATTAAAGTAAACTAACATTTTGATTAGACTTTTAAAATACAATTACAAGAAAAGGTTTGTTATCACTAAGCAACAAGATGTTACTGTTGATCGGTCATGAAATTTGAATCTGACAATCTGATATTAGAGTGTAATAATATAGTCTGATTAAACTAATAGCGCACGGAAAGTTCCAAATGTCTTTGAAAATGCTGAAAAAAAATTCTGTTAAATCAGTTCTGATTTTGCTAAATGCCCTGCTTTCAGGAAAGGATTCAATTACTTTTTTCTCGCATTACTATCTATATATTTACTATCTATATATTTTGTAATAAAATAGTCATACAGATGGCAGGGTTCTTCCTCCATTATTGACCTGCTTAGACTTTTTTAGTAAGCACCAAACAAATGCATGAGCACCAAAATACTAACACGTGAGAACAAATTCAAACACTCTGTCGTGTTTAATATCAAACAGCAGTTAACAAGCAGCATAGAAACTTAAATATGTCTTCAGCTTCCAGCTGTCAGCTCTCCTCTCACACCAACCCACATCAGGAGCGATGTTTTTGTTTTGACTGGTTCTGACGTCTATGCTGTTCATGGTCTGAATGTGGGATTGTTCTCAGTTGTAGTCTTAGCTCTCCTTGTTTTAGCTGTAGTTTTTTAAAGGGTTGCCAGCACTCACATATGACACCTTTGCATTGTGTGCTGCAGTTAAGCACCAAGTCTAAATTGTGCTTGTCTTGTATCTGAGGAAGTGATGACACCGTGGATAAACTTTTTTGTCCAAAAGTAATACTACACAAATGCTGGATATTAAGACAAATGAGGAAAAAAAGTCAAATTTATTTATATAGCACATTTAAAACAGCAGTTGACCAAGGTGCTGTACATTTAAGATAATCAAGAGATAAAAATAGCAAAACAAGATTTAAGAAAAAGAAGTATAAAATGAGAAGATCTGAGTAAAATATAAGACAAATAAAAGTAGTACAAACTTGAAAGTGTCCCTTCACAGCAGAGGTCTTGATGTGAAAGGGCAGTTTGTTCCACAATTTAGGAGCAGTTACAGCAAAGGCCCAGCCTGCTCTGTGCTTTAATCTGGACCTCGGGACAGCCAGGAGCATATGAACGGCAGACCTCAGTGAACTTGCAGGAGTGTACGATCAGATCAGAAAGGTATGAGGGGACTAACCCGTGCAGCGCCTTAAAAACGAATAATAAAATCTTAAAATCAATTTGAAAACTAACTGGCAGCTAGTGTAAGGATGCTAGTATGGTCTCGCTTGCGTGTGCCAGTTAGTAACCATGCTGCAGCTTTTTGGACCAACTGCAGTCGGCTACCTGATGACAGACCGACACCTGAGTCTGACACTATTACAAAAGTCAGGCGAAATGAAATGAAGGATGGATAGCTCTCTCAAAGTCTGTAAAACAGAGGAATGGCTTCATTCACAGAGATGAAAGAAACTGCATTAATCTGTGTAACAAACATACTGTACATCATACTGTCAAAAATCACTGCTAGGTTCTTCACAAAGGGTTTTTTAACATTTATAAAGGGCCAAAGTCTTAGTGGTCACAGGGACCAAACACAATGACCTCTGTTTTCTGTGCATTTAAGTTAAGGAAGTTGAAAGCCGTCCGTGCCTTGACATCCTCCAAACAATCTAGCAAACCCGTCAGAGGACTCACAGATTTACGTTTCAGTGGCAGGTAAATCTGTGGGTCGTCAACAATGAAATGAGATGCTAAATAAGATATTTGTGACAGTTATTAGACACGATCTTAGAGAAACACTTTAAGCCATTTTCTAACCCACTTCTCTTAAATGCTGAAGTCTTGATTGAGCGTTTGAAGTGTATTTTAGTGTAACCACATTTATATGGTGTTTATCAAATAAGCATTCATTTAGAGACCACTTTGTTTTATATATATATATATATATATACACTTCAAGGACTTTAAATACCTCACCTCTACAGTCAATTTAGAATAGAATAGAATAGAATAGAATTCAACTTTATTGTCATTGCACATGCACAGGTACAGGGCAACGAAATGCAGTTTGCATCCATCCAGAAGTGCTTTAGCCGTGATATAGATATATTACAATATATATTAGCAATAATATAGATATGTAAGTATATTACAGAAATGGGTCTATTATGGTATGTTATAATCTACACGGTATGAAGTACGTTATGAATATTCTATAACTATAAGTATGTACAGGCTGTAGTGAGTACAAGCTATGTACAGGCTATGAACAGGATATAAATATGAAAAACTATACAGAAATCTGAGATATACAGTTATACAGAAATGTGAACTATGCAAGTTATAAACAGTTGTAGGATTAAAAATTATCGTATGTACAGGATGATTATTTACAGAGCTATACAGTAGTGCAGTTAAGATAAGTGAGATATGTGGATAATTTCTACAGAGGCTATAAAGTCCTGGTGGTTCAGTCCATGTTATTATTGTGTGTTTGAGGGTACGGTTGTCCATTGTGTGTGTGTGTAGGTGGTTATGGGTGTGTGTATGTCCAGTCCATGTGTTAACGTGGGTCAGATGTCAGGAGGCAGAGTTCAGGAGTCTGACAGCTGTGGGGAAGAAGCTGTTCCGGTGCCTGGTGGTCTTAGTCCGGAGGCTCCTGTAGCGCCTCCCAGAGGGCAGGAGGGTGAAGAGTCCATGTGATGGGTGACTGGGGTCTTATTTAGATTCAATTTAGATCACCAGTTACACTAAAATAAATGTCTTTGGACTGTGAAAGGAAACCAGAGTACCAGGAAAAGCCCTGAACAGTAAGAATATGCAGCTCAGACATTAAGACCCTGGGCTTGGGTTCAAATCGGGACCCTTCTCGCTGTGAGGTGACAGTGCTAGCCACATCTACAGTGTGCTGCACGTAAATACAGTTAGCAGATATGCTGACAGTTCAGTGGGTTATGAACATAATTAAAGTTAACTTGTATTTCTGCTGCTGACATGAGCTTAAATGGTGGACGAAGGAACATCCTGAAGTCTTTTTGGCATTTAAACCTTCTCTAGTATCCAACAGAGCTCAGCTTGTAAAGGGCTGGTTCACCACATGCCAGAAATTAAAAGGTCCTCCAAGTGTTTTTGTTGTCGTGGAGATTTCTAATTATTAAATGTTCCTTAAATCCTTTCATTAAAAAAGAATAAAAATCAGTTTTCCATTTCAAATATACAGAAAAATTACATTACATCAATCCACAAAAAGTCTAGATTGTGTCATCTCAATAGTTTGTTCCTGTTACAAAAATATGTCAGTCCTCACCCTGTCATTGATACATGATTTTGATTCATTCTTTCATTTCTCTCAACACCGTTCCTGCTGAAATCTTGTGAATTGAGTTGGTGGTTCCAGTTTGTACCACCTCTTTGTAATGGCTTTCTTACAAGCTACTAACAGGATTTTAAACAAATAACTGTTTTCTCCTGATACAGTATTTCCTTCCATATTACGTAAATACGACAGGGTACATGGCCTTTTTATATCATAACCCTGAAATTTGGCAACTACCAAACAAACAGTCTATGGGGAAAAAAATGCCTGAGCAAAGTCAAAAGACGTGAGAATGGTTAAATTTCCTGTTCCATGTGGTCTCCAACAGGCCAGTGTTGGAGACAAAGATTTCCTCATTTAGGGGGAACCAAAAAGTCTTATCAAATCCTTTTCTTTTACAAGTTGCGGTGTATGGAGAACACAATACACTACAACACTACAAGTCTTCTCCAGTAAGACTTTGAATTTCGCTTCCTTGTGCATACTTCTGAGTTTTGCCACCAAGCCTCATAATCTTTGTCAGACCAGCAGATTACAGGTCGAATTTGTGCTGCATGGAAATATTTCATCATGTTTGGCAGTGCCATACCTCCATGTTTGCTCACCTTTATGGTTTGAAATGTGATTCTTGGCCTGTTGCCATTTCATGTAAATATTCTAATGAATTTTATGTTTTTAAAAGTCTTAGGTACCTTCATGGGTCCCCTTAAAAAATGCCTCTATTTTTGAGCCAAAATGCAGTGAAAGGAAAATTCACCTTTCAGTATTATTCTTAATGTCTTCAGTCACTTTGATAAGGTTTGCTTCGTATAATTCATCGACGTCATTTTACATTATGGGCCATTTACAGCTCATTTTGATCATTTTATATTAAGTAGGCTGGACCAGTGAAGCTTGCTTTTCTGTTTTTGTAAAAAGAAAAAGAAATAGTAACAGAAAATAGTAATAGAAAATACCTTGCTTGTTATTTACATTTAATTGTGGCACCAGTGTTTAGAAAACAGTGCAGCTTTGGTGAATCACTTGTCAAACTAACCATACCTGCCATATTAGTCTTTGCTGGTCCAATTCTGGCGCATGTGCCTTATGTATACCCACAGAATAGTTTATCCTTCTTCTTGTTAAAGTAACTTGTAATTTCATTTTTTGCACTCAATTTCCAAATGTATATATTTTTTTATAACTGTGTAATTTTGAATACGATATAGTTCAATGTTAAAATAAGTGTTTTAGCCAAACTTTTAGCCAAAATTTCTATATCCAGAAAAGAATACAGAGCTAAAGCCGATTAATTAATATTAGAAGACATCTGTCTAGATCAGGGGTCAGCAACCTTTAACACCCAAAGAGCCATTTGGACGTGATTTCCACGCAAAAGAAAACTCTGGGAGCCGCAAATACTTTTTGACATCTAAAATGAAGATAACACTGCATATATTGTTGTTGTTTTTTTACCTTTATGTTTTGTGTGAACAACTAAGGTGTG